ATAGAAATTGCATTTTCGGTGCTCTTGGAACGATCCACTCGAAGTAGCATCTAATAAAGTCTTGTGGACTGATTAGAGACCATTTCAGAAGATGTGCACTTGAGTGAGTTCATCAAAATTGTGACCCTTACATTTTAGTAACATGGATTTGAACTTCTCCCAAGCTTCATTGAGAGATTCATTTCTGCCTTGAGCAAACACCAAAATTGTTGTATTTGCTTCCATGAATCGATTGTGTGAAAAAAATTATTCAAGGAACTTTTCTTCTAACAAATTCCAATCCTTCATAACTAAAAAATTTGATCGAAATACCATTCCTTTGCCTTCTCGATTAAGGAATGCAAAAATAGTCTCTTGAACAATGATTATTCTTCAACTTCTAGCACTCCCGTTGCACCCGCAATTTTGTAGAATTTTGTGAGATGAGTGAAAGGATCCTCATGATCCATGCCGGTAAAAGGATTTTGGTATAGAAGTGCAAGAATTCCAGTTTTCATCTCAGAATGCCTCCCATTGTGGGTGTTACACGCAAACTGAGCATTATGCCTTGGACTCTTGATACATGGTGTTGAAATATGAGGTGGTGGTGGAAGTGGATCTGTCATGATTAGCGTAACAATTGGTGTGGATGAAGAAGATTCTCCTCGCTCTTTTCTTTCTCTAGCAAGTTGTCGTCTCCGTCTTGTTCTGCTATTGAGTCTACAAGTAGTTCTTTCAATCTCAGGATCAAAAAGAAGTTCTTCTGCATATACACTCTCTCGTATAAACAGATTCTACACACTAGCCAAACAAATTAAAAAGCACAAGAGAATTACAGAGGTAAGAGATTCACAATACAAATATCTTAAAATCACTAAACTATTGCAATGCTTGCAATATCCTACTTAACAATCCCCGACAACGACGCCATTTTATTTAGAATTATTTTAGGTAGGTGTTTTATTGTATCTACAGGGATTGTGCGCAAGATATACAGATGCTTGTCGTTTAATAGTTTAACGTTCTAAGTAAAGAGTTTTCAAAGAGTTCTTGTTTTGTAAATTAGGGAAAAGATGTTTTGTTTTAAGAAAATCATGTCAAGATTAGATTTTGTTAACCTCTTTCATATGTACCCGATTAATCAAGCATGTGAACTTAGTTTCGATCAATACAATCGCATATCCTTGCAAATCCGTTTATTTCTAAAGCGACTTCATGAATATTATTGTTTTAAACGCTAGATGATTTCTCGAAATAACAATCAAAACAATAAACATAAAGATCGATACAAAGCAAATATTAACTTTCAAATCTATGTCTAGAGTTTGTTGGTTAATAGATGAAGAAATTAGATCAAGACTTGGAAAATCTATGTCTAGAGTGATTCAAACCATAAATACATCATTAAAAGCAAAGATCTTCATCATCTATTGATCATAAACCTTGTTCACATACAAAATATCAAAAGAAATACATAATAGCAAGATTAACTACCTCTAATCTTGACACAAAAGTGTTTAGCTACCCATCACCATGGTAGCTTGATCAACAAGTAAGAAAAGAAGCTTTTCTAGGATTAAAGTCAAAAAATCGAGGATTGATACTCCAAAAATTTGATTCTCACTTCTCCTTGAGTTCCTAAGGTTTTTGACCTAAAAAATCCTTTCTACTTTCTAAAAATGCTGAAAAGTGTAAAGTAACAAATGTCCTTGAAAATATCTACAAGAGAAGATATTTATAACAAGTGCAGTAAGTGGCACCGCGCTAAGCGCCATCAGAGGTGCACTAAGCACGGTCAGCAAAAACAAATGCAATTTCCTAGAAAGCGCGCTAAGCGCGGTTGGAGACTTTAGCTACTGCCTCAACAGAAAGAGCGCGTTGAGATCGTGCTAAAAAACATGCTAAGCACAAGTTACCGACACGATCTCCTCGAAAATCATCTTTTAGGCCTTCTTTCCTTCACCAATTGTTCCTATCATTAAATATAAGCAAAAAGATCTGTGAAAGAGCATCAAAATGGTTATAATTCACAATATTTACAATAAAATAAAAAATTAGCATAATTACACTAAAACTAATAGATTTACTACTAAAATATCAAGGAAACCTTTTGAAAGAGCCATAAAATATGGTCAAAAGTATGCACAATTTGGCTTTTAACATCTACCATGTCTCAATTTTTCTTCGCAGTCAGACATTTTTTTCTGCCATCAAACAAGCACAACAGAGATATGTCATAAAATGAATATAAAAACAACATGCAGACTAAAAATCATATAGTAAGAAAATTCATATTCCAATCTCCAAATTAAATGTCTGAATTATACAATCTAAACTGCATGTGAACCATAGTTAGAGAAGAAAGAGCAGAGCGTGCAAATATTATAAGTCATAATGCTTAAAACACAATGCAAGGCAGTTCATAACAAGCACAACAAGCATTTATATTGCATGTTAGCCTAAATTATCATACCTATGGTTTATTTCAGTAATGCATGAATGGGAAATCAAAAAACAAAAAAGAATGAGTAACTTACCAATGCAATGGAGATGAGCTTCAAATAAGTGCAATGCATTGAAGTAGGGCTTCAATGCAATGGATAGAAGCTATAAGAATACTTGAAATGAAGAAAAAATGTTTTGTGGTCGTTTATGAGTACTCTCTCTTTGTATTCTATTTTTTTATCTTTTTCAAAAATCGAAATGTGAAGGGAGAGAGAAATGTGTGGGTTACTTAAACATTCCAATCTTTGGATTATATCTAGACTTTGGAATCCGGATTAGTTTGAAAATTGTGTGGTCCTTATTCCATTCTGAATGTTATCTTTTAGACGTGTCCGAATTTCAATCTCTAAAGTTGTTTAACAGCGTATTTGAAGGTTTTTTAAAATCTCCAAATTTTTTGTGTTTTAAGTCGTCTGAATTTTGATTCCCAGAATTGGAAGTTATTTTTGAAATTTCCATAGAGTGTGTGAGTAGCACATGGCATTCAGTTACCTCTAATAATGTAACCATAATCTTTCAACCTATTTTCCATCATAGAACATAATCAATATACTTATTTATGCATACCTTTTTTTCCTTTACACCAACCCCTTTAGATAGAGGCTTGGTTGATCGACTACACATCATTCTTCAAACAAATATATGCTTTTTATGTCATGAAGAGATTACCATTTATTACATTTAAAATTGGTTGAGCATTTTTATTAACCTTTGGTTGTAAAAGATGTCCAACAACCATTGTTGGATTAATAACAATCAATTTCAAGCAGAGCCTCGACAAAGTCTTTGAACATGGGTACTATTGGGGGAGTTTTTTAACTATGGAGCATTGAACATTGTGTCATTTTCTTTTCTAGAACAACACTTTCGTGAGAGGCACACCATATATTCACCCAAAACCTTAAGGTGATAGGTGGGTAAGTTCTCTCACTTATAAATGCTTAAGTCTCCATATTTTCAACCAATGAGGGACTATCACTCACACTACTCACACTTGCTATATTCTCAACACTCCCCCTCAAGTGTGAGTCCACAATGCTCCCTCTCAAGTGAAAACTCTTCTTACTTCCACAAACTCTTGTACCTTACGGAACATTTCTTATTAACCACCTTTGTGGCGCCGTTGACACTCTTCAACGAAACGTTTCTTACTCACCACCCTTGTGGCGTCGTTGACTTTCGATACAAGTAAATTTTGTCCCTTTTTCGAGCCAAAGGCTCTGATACCATGTGTTGGAGGAGTTTTTTAACTAGAGAGTATTGAACATTGTAGGACTTCCTTTTCTAAAACAACACTTTTGTAGAGATACACCACATATTCACCCAAAACTTTAAACTAATAAGTGTCGGCTCTCACTTATAAATGCTTATGTCTTCACATTTTTAACTAATGTAGAATTATTATTCATATTACCCACACTTGATACATTCTCAATATGTACCATAACTGATAACTGAAAACACAGACATTGACAAAATAGCTAGTGTTAAAATATAAAAAGAATATCCAATGATTTTAATTGCATCTTAGAGTACTTTAGGGTAAGATAGGTTGTCCTTTTGAGTTGAGTTCCATACTCCTTTATATGTTCGGATCTGTTTCCTTACCTAATTAGAATCAAGAATCTAGTATTAGTATAAGTGACTATTGATATTTTATCATTTGCAATATCAAAGGCTTTATCTCATAAAAAATCAAATTGAGTTCCATATTCCTTTATATGTTCGAATCTGTTTCCTTACCTAATTAGAATCAAGAATCTAGTATTAGTATAAGTGACTATTGATATTTTATCATTTGTAATATCAAAGGCTTTATCTCATAAAAAATCAAAATCAAAATCGCATGTGCAGCTTCAGGCTTTCATTCTGATTTTTTTTTTTTTAAAGATAACACGTGATTTCCTATCGAAATCCAGATCTAAAAACAAAGGTTGCTAAGATTGAAATCTTGCATAAGATCGGAAAATTCTACCTAATTAGTTTTGTAAGATTGAAATGGTGTGGAAAAATTGTAAAACATAATATCATAAGAAAAATGGTAAGATATTACTAAAACCAAAAAAATAAAAATAATGCTACATATTTGAAGTTTTTTACATGATATTTTAGTAGACAAGTGTATTAATAAAAAAACAACCTCCGCCGAATCATAATCATAATTGTTGTCTCGACATCTTATCATCCTTCTCGACTTGTAATAGTGGTGGCTGAAAAACTGACGATCATGACCGGCACAGGCCAAGATCACACAAAATCAATGTTTTTAGATTTCTTTCCCTTTTCACAATTTGCCTACTACACAATATTCTAATTAAGATAGGAATCGTTGGGGTTAGTGAGATTATAAAATCGTAAGATTTAGATTGAGATCTTGACAACCTTGCTGAAAATTATGTCGCATCAACTACGACTCCGGGATTCTTCAACCTTAGAAAGTATGTATATCATCCTGTTAATATCTGATATGCCTTATTCTCGTGAACTCAAAATTGTTAGTCGTGAGTTCTTTAGCATTACTTACCCTCTTCAGTATGAGTGAACATTCTTTTCAGGACCTCGTTCTCCTTTCTTAATTTCATGATTTTCTGCTTAAGTGTTTCCACCTGCCAATTTGATGTCATTTCTTGTTGTTGATCAACCATCTTTGCTTTAAAAAGCAGCACTGCGGTGAACACAAAACAATAATTCCCACTAATATTATTACGTGACAGAATATGAAAATGCTCAAACAAAACAATGATATGGTTTTATGCAAGTGTAATTGCTATGCATTTCGTGGCTTACGTTCTTTTTCCAAATTTTGCATCTTTCTGTTTAAGTCATTTTTCTCTTCCTGCTCAGCCATAAGACAATCTTTCAAATCCCGAATTTCAGAACTATCTGTCAAGCCATGATGAGCAGAGGAAACAAATTTTCAACCAATAAAGATATATTGCAAGTTTGTGTTGATAAAAAATTGATTCTTCTAAAGGTAAATTATAATGAAGTGCCTCACATTTTGATTCCACTTCAAAATGGATTTGGTCCAACCGGTTTGCTAGAACTTGCATATGGTTTTTGTGGGCTGCTATATCTCCATTGAGTTGGCTTATGGTTGCTTCATATGTTGCTTTCTCATGCAGTGATTCCCTAATGTAAAGTGAGATCAATGCGTTAGGTTGTTAAATCTTGAACTTAAAAATCAGTAAATTTGACCCAAACCCTTAAAACCATGATTTGAGGAGATTTTATACAAGCCTCCAATATACAAGAACAACAAAAATCAAGCCTTATCCCATTGTGTGAGGTCGGCTACATGAATCAACTCCTGTCATAATGTTCTATCTAGTACCATGCTTCTATTCAAATCCTTAATCTCTAGATCTTTCTTAATAACTTCTCTTATAGTTGTTCTAAGTCTTTCTCTACCTCTAGTTGTTTGACTCCTCTTCATCTGATCTACTCTCCTTACCATAGAATCTACAAATCTTTTCTCTACATTCTCAAACCATTATGCTTAATTGATACATACAGGTACATCCTCTATTATGTTAAGGACATTGATTCCACTTTAATTAGACACACTCCACCTCTATAAAGTAAAAATAGAAGTGTGTCCAATTTCATTGAAACACAAAATGTTACTTAAATGCTCCTCACATAATTCATTCATAACTAACTCAAAATTTCAAAATTCACATAGAACTTCCAATAGCATGGCCATCATAAGAAACAAAACATAAGTTTCAGTAACAGAAATATCCATACAACCATGAATACTCACTTAACTTGAGCTTCTAAACTAGCAATTTTTCCATCATATTCTTGCTCAAGCAATTTTAAAGCCCTCTTATGTCCCTGCTCCAACAAAAAAAATTCCAACAATTAACAATGTAAATTAGTATTAGTAATTTTCTACCTTTCACCTTCAATCTACAAAACTCACATCTTCTTTAGCAATAACTTCATTCTTCGATCTTTCAAGCTCTTCTTTCAAATTCATGCATTTTGCTCGGAAATCAAGCTGTAAAACAATTAATCAAATTAAATTAACAAACACAGCAACGGCACATTATTCCGAAATCCAAATACAAGTGACTAATTGAAGAACCTGATCAGCCACATTCTTCAACGATTCTGAATACAGTTTTGCCAACTCTTCATTTTCTGAAACTTTGCAAAACTAAATTTAGCTACAATACAAATGGAAATACTGAATCAACAAATTGTAATAGTTTTATACTTATTGATCAAACCTTTTTTGAGGTTATTGCATGTGATTTGGAGAGATTCTCGCAATTTTAACTCTGAACTGTGTTTGGATTGCAGTGACTGGATTTCCGAAATGCTACTCTTTACATCCTGAAACATAGCATCAATAATATTCCTGAAAAATCAACGGAAAGAATCAAGAAATTAGGGTTTTGAATACCTCGTGGATTTGATTGAAAGCTGAGAGCAGTGACTCCATTTCTTCGTCACTCGTTGCCGCCATTTTTCTCTCTTTTCAAAAACTAAGAAATTTTCATTTATCGTGCAACGATTTTTCAGTTGTTACTAATTGAGTGCTATAATCACACTCTGGGTCTTGGGTCATTTCTCACATCTGGGTTTAAAGCCCAACCATTATTATACTTTCCGATTTTCACTTACCACCCCCTAATTATACCTAACACTCCCATACTTTTATATTCCCAAATGTTCCTGGCTGAAATAAAAATTGGTCCAAATTTACGTTCAAATTTTTCGGTAGATTTAATGAAATTTTCAGTATAGATCAAAATTTTCAATACTATATTTTAAATTTCTAGTATACTGGAAATTTCATAATTTCCAATAAATTTTTGTAAGTTTCAGAAATTTGAAATTTACATGTTGATACCGGAAATTTCAATCTAAATGAAATTTTCAGTAGTGTTGTTTGTTTGATTTTTTGGACGTTCAGGATTTTGTTGACAGTTTTGGATAGCTTTGATTGCACCGACAATTTTGTGTGGTCTAGAGTAAATGCAAAGTTATATAAATATGGGGTCAAATGTTGTTTGATAAAAACATCTCAAAAAATGTATCTTCCTCAATTTTTTATTAAAGCAGAAGTGTACTTCAACGGAGTTTCATCTCCTGTGGAGTTTTGGCTCCGGATGACATCACATCTTTTGCCAGCCTGACGTCCAAGTTGAATGAACTGTTGTCTGATGTCAAAAACAGAAATGTGAGAAAGATCGAGTTTAGTGAATATTGGATTGATACTGACGGGAGGATGAAATACAACTTTATTGAGTTGAAGACCGACAAAGATGTGAAGGAAACGTGAAGATCATTTCGCCGTAGGATAACAAAAGGAGGCGATCGAGTTAGATGTTAAGCTTTTGAGATCTGTTGATGACATAATGGAGATGTTGAAACGTCCAGAATCATCTGGTAGTGTTTAGGTTTTTTCTTAAGTTATGTTTAAGTTATGCAATCCGTTGTCAATTGTTAGTTGATGTTGCATCAATGAAAGATCAAAAGTATTAGCAAATAAAAAGTTATGATGAAGATGTCTGAATAATATATAAATGATACAAATAATACATAATAAACCAAATCCATGATATACATAAGATGTCTAAATAGGCCCCCACGAGCTATGTGTGCAGCCTAAAATAATCCAGTATAAACCTCGTCATCTGAGTTTACCAAATCCATAAGGTTATCCATAATAACTACAATCATCTGGAGGCGGTGATAGTCATCAGCATCAGTTGGAAGAGGCGGCAACGACACGTCAGTAATAGGTACCCCAACAACAGAAGGCCCAACATCAGTTGTAGGTTGGATGATGTGAGAGTGTGATACAGTAAGGTACCACTCTAAGTAACCATCCTCACACTACGAGGGATGCTGAACAGTGACTGCTCGATCTCTAATAATACGACCAGAGCTGATGAAGTTACTCTGAAACCACCAATCAATACCTGCAGATGGTATATTTGAAATTGTTCATAGGATACTCTGAGCATCACCATATTGTCGCAGACACCTCTTAGGAAAGTGTCTATCAACCATGGTCTTCCACCGCATTTAACTTGAATATAATGGCGACTCTTCGAACTCACTGTGGACTCTATGAACAGTGTATGGTGTCCAGATGACATCATCTACAGTCAGCGCATCAAGCCTCCTCATATACTCAACAAGACCATTGGGATGTATCTGCCTAGCCTTACATCTCTTCGCCCCCTGGGAACCCCACTAGGTAATGTTGCACCCTCCTGTCACGGATGATGGGGAAATGCCTGTATATCCAACAGTGATATCAAAACAGAGACACAACAAATAATAAATAAGAAATTTTATTCGTAAAACTTAAATAAGAAATCAACAATAAAGAATAGTTTCAAGTATACCTATAACAGACTCAAATAGCCAGCAAGTTGTTTGGTCTCAAAGGCTATCGCCACTCCAAGGGTTGTATACAGAAGGGTCAATGCAGCACACCCCCAAGCCAAACTGGTGTCCTCGAGGCTACTGAAGAGGCACATGTACCGGGCATCGATATAAACACCTGACTTATCCGCAAAGAGAGTACATGATATTATATGTAGCATATACGCCCTAGCGGCAGGCTCATACCTCCCACCAGCTACAAGCAGATCATATGCCTTTCGAATCCAAGACATACGAAAATGCACGCCCCTATTAATGTCAAACTCTTTCTGCATTTTTGCCTCAAACAATCCCAAATCTCGTGCAAAAGTATGACATGCAAGAAACATGCTAAAAACAAGATTCGTACAAAATCTTCCGCCGATGGGGAGATGGAACAATGAGGAGACATCATCCAGAGTGATAGTTATCTCCCCAAACGGAAGATGAGATGAAGATGTCTCCTTGTGCCTCCTCTCAATAAACACACTAAGTAGTGGAGAGTCGAACATGTTGAGGAAGTAGTGGGAAAAATCAAGCCATTGAAACTCCTATATAATTCGAATGGCCTGCTCAGGCATCAGAATCTTCGGGAAGTCCTTCATCTTCGCCGTGACAAATAAATATAAACAATAATTAAAGTTAAACATAAAAGACATATGTCTCGCCCTGCCATAGTCGTAACGTCATATGGTCAGCATACTCAGTAAGCACCGATCGTTCGATAGGTCCTTTAGGGAATGCTCCATCAGTGTGAATAGAAGGCTCAGTCGAATGAGTCATAACCTTTGTTTCAGTATTAACAGATGGGACCGAATTAGCAACAACAACATTTGGCTGGACCACCTGAGCAACCTCCTCCAAACCAACCTCCTAAGCAACCTCCTCTGCAACCAGATCTACAGCCTCCTCAACCACCAGATAAACCACTAGATCAACAAAAATAGCATCTAGAGCCCTGTCATCTTTAGACTGATTTAACGATCGTATCGGTCAGCGTCGAGTGCAACGAGGTTCCCGAAATTGACCTTTCTCAGTCAACTGCTTTCAGGGTGAACCGGTTGGGGTCACTCATTCAGCCCGTATCTAGGAAGACTCGGCATCAGCACCTCTGGCAGCTCTAAATGGGAAATTATTTGGTGTATTCGGAGATACATCTCCGAAATGTCCTCTGAAAGTTTTTCAAAGCATGGGAAATACAAAGGGGAAATTATTTTAGAGATGCATCTCCGGAATCCTCCCTGAATCATATCAGAACAACACCATTGCCCATAAATTTAATTTTTGTAAGGCCAACTTATATTAACGTAAAATCAAAGTAAAATGAAATTATATTATAGTTAAATAAAAGTAAAAATTCATACATTAATAAAAAAAGAGTCAAGAAAATTCATAAATAACATTAGTCCGAAAATACATCCGAAAATACAAAAAAAAAATACATCCCAATATAAACTACTGGGTATGTCTAAGTGTCTGCCTCCTCCACCGCATGTATTATATGACATTATGTAACTCAAAAACCATACACTCCACTAGGGACAACTGAGGGTTTCCATCCTCAAAGAGTCATGTCTCTATGGCTACTTTACATGTCTCCGTAACATGCAGACATACTGTCGTCACACTCTCTGCCTTCTCGTCCCAAACCTCAACTGTTAGACAAAGGCGACATATCTATAGGCGGTGAATAGATCCCATGTTTAAAAAAATTACATTAAAATTCTATTTTGAAAAATTAGCGGCTAACGGAAGTGACTTAGATCTATCGTCTAAACCGAACCGCTATCAAAAAGCTCAGATATGCGTATATAAAAACCAATTGATGATAATGACAAACAAATCAATCAATATACTTATTACCAAAATCACTTGAATTCTACTCAACAAGTAAACCTATTTCTAGTGATAAAATACACAAAAAATAATTGAGGAAAATTATCAAACACCTTATGTGCAATCAATTTCATTTAAAATTTTGTATGGTTTTATTGATTTGAAAATCCAACCACAGTCAAATAGATTGTGATCAGCTCAACAAAACCTTTTTCAAAGGTGATCAAAAAGTTTAACTAAATGTATGTATCACACAATCGAAGAATTTAACAATTTGTAAATTAAAAATAAGAGAGAGAGAGAGAGAGAGAGAGAGAGAGAGAGAGAGAGAGAGTACATAAGGATTTGTTTAGACAATTCCCCAATTCGTCTTGCTATGGGTATCTCTTCCCTCAATTGGAACTTGAATTGAGATAGTGAAAATTAACCTTACTTTGCAAAAGTCGTTTACAAGAGAAATGTAGCAATGCAACCCTACAAACCCTATGTTTGATGTTAATTCTAACACTTTCTCTTCCATGATCTAAACTTGATCAAGTCACCCAACAATACCAATTTGATTCATCGTCTCACGCTACTCCTTTGCAAGAACCCCCGTTCTTGAAAGTCTTTACTTGATCGAATCCAAATTGCAAATTTTTGTAACCCAAGATTTAGAAATTTGATTCACCGTCTCACGCTACTCCTTTGCAAGAACCCCCATTTTTCAAAGCCTTCACTCAATCGAATCCAAATTGTGTAATCTTGTCCAAAACCTTCAAATCCCCAATTGATCTTGAAGGAAAACCCCACCTTGGTTTTCTTATTTGAAACCACCAAAGATTTCAACCCAATTTATAGTTCACTAACCTAAATTGGAAGTTATCAACTCTAATTCTAGATGGCACCCAAACAAAAATGTGTGTGTGTGTGTGTGTGTGTGTTGGAGGCAAAAGGGAATGCAAGAGATTTGAAAAAATCATGAATTTTTGGATAAATGTGTTGCATAGGTCAACCTAGGGAAGTCATGTGTTGATCTATTTAATGCATGTGTCAACCTGTATAGGTCATGAGTCAACCTATATGGGTCATGTGTCAACCTTTGCAGTCAACACATCAAACAAAGGCTAGAGGCTTTAAAACTGAGTTACATAGGTTAACTTGTAACTCATATAGGCCGGCCTGTACAGGCCATGTGTCAACCTAAGCAGTCAGCACATCAAACAGAGGCAACAAGCTTTAAAAATGAGTTACATAGGTTGACGTGTAACT